TTGAACTCAGGCCCTTGCGCTTGCCAGGGAAACGCTTATTCCACTGAACCATCTCCCCAGCCCCTACATTTTATTTCTGATATCCTTACATTTGCGCACACAACTGGGAGCTATTTCACACCATTTTCGCTTTGAACCTCTCACTTCCTCCTCCACCATGTGTCTCTCAGTAGATAGATTTACTTCTTGTTTTGCTAAGAAAACAGAAGTTGTCAGCTACCAATGCTCTAATTTTCTGAGCATCCCAACCTCCTCAGTGCCCCCTATTCTGCCTTCCCCTGTCCCTTGGGCTGCTCTCATCCACACCATTCCCATGCAGTACACCTGGAGTCCGTCCCTTGCAAGTTCAAAGCTCCTTTCTCTCACTGGCATTTGTCCTTTTTTCTTTTTTTTTTAAAAAATATTTATTTGATAAAGGTCTCGCTACACAGTTTAGACTCATAGTGATCCTCCTGTCTCAGCCTCCCCAGAGATGGGATTACGGGCATGTACCACCACACCCAGTTTGAGCTGGTGCAGGATGTAGTACTGGGAATCGAGCTCGGGTCCTTGCATTTGCCAGGCAAGGGTTTAGACCACCAAACTATCTCCCCAGCCTTGTCTTTTTCTCTTTACTATATAATTCTATCTCTGTTAAAAAGGCTGTTTTTCTCCAGTCCTCTGAAGAGTCTCCCTTCTTTTTTTTTTTTTATTTTTGAAGTACCAGGAATTGAACTCAAGACCTTGTACTTGCCAGGTAGGCACTTATTTTACTGAGCTATTTCACTGGCCCAGAGTCCCCCTTCTTTTGAACCCCTCCTCAGCTACCTCCCCTTTCTACTTTTATCTATAGCTAGATTCTATGAATGCATTATTGACATTAATCTCTCATTTTCTACTTCATTCAAATTGAATTCCTGCCCCGACACTCCACCATTGCCAGTCCTTCTCTTCCTTGAGCCAGCAGCCTATGGTCCCACTCCTTCCTGATCACCCTGTTGCCTGGGCTGTTGTGATTTGCCTGGTTCTCCTTAGTCTCCTTTGTTGGTCTTCCCTCTTTTCCCCACTCTTAATGTTGTGGGCACAAGGCTCCATCCTCTGTCTTTTTCTCTATTTATCTTCTTTTCCATCTGGTTGTTTTGCATTTCAGCCCAGATCTCTGTGCAGTGCTTGACTTTCAATCCCATTACCCAACTCGGGCGCCTTCTGAACATCTCATGTCAGCAGAGTCAAAGCTTAGCTCTCCTCAAACATGCTTCCCTGATTGATTCCCCATTTTAGATTTTGGAGATTCTGTCCTTCCACCTGCTCACACAATGCCCTGGACTCACCTCTGATTTCTCTCTTTCTGTTGCATCCCATACCAACTGGCCAATGAAATTTGTCACTGCTACAATCTTAGCCTAAGCCAGGCTGTCCCCTGATCACTGTAGTGGCTTCCCTCTGTTTCCTCCCTCCATGTGTTCCTTCTATTGTGCTTCACACCTGGCAGTGTCTCCTCATTTCACTCAAAGTGAGTCTTTACAATGAGCCCTTGGCCTGCCATCACCCCTCTAAACTCATCTTCTCCTATTCTCACTGTCCCCACACCAATCCTGTCAGCCTCCATGCTGTTCCCTGAGTGTCAGGCGTGTCTCTGCCTCAGGGCTTTTGTCCTTGTTGTTCCTCCTGCCAGGAGCCTCCTTCTTCCACAGATCCCGTGTCATACTTCCTCCAAGTTTTTGTGGAAAAGACTTACACTTGGTAAACACGTCCCTGACCAATCTCTCTAGACTCTCACCGCTCCTCCTCTGGGCACCCCTTTACCCACTGCCTGCTTCTGTCTTCTCCCCTGGACTCCACACCACCTCACACAGCTTAATGACTTTGTTTCTGTCCTACCTCTCACCACTAAAACATGAGCTCCTTGCAGGCAGGCCCCATGGCTATTTCATTCACTATTTCCTTGAGCAATGCTTCACTGAATGAACTAATTAGTAAATTAATTAATGAGCAAATACTTAAGTTACTCAGTGCTTGAGCCAGACCTGATTGGAATCAACATCCTCTTTAGGGGGATGTTCAGTTCCAGGGCCCTGCTCACCAAGATGCGCTTTAGCTCAACTTACTTTGCTCTTTCGTCCTTCTACTAAGATTTTATATTCAAAGACCTGGGCATTTTGATGTCAGATGTTATCATTTTCTCTAGAAAAATCATTATTTGGGTCTCCTTGTTTTGGTTCTGCCAGTTTCCTAATTCTCACTTCTTGTTTCACGGGTCCACTCATTTCCTTTATCTTTGGAGAGTGCTAAACTTGCTTCTCCTGTTAACATGAAGATCTATTCCCTGATTCATTGGTCAGATTGGACTGTGTGCTGATGATGTACCAGCTGCTGATCAGGGCCCTGGGGACACAGCAGGAAGGATGAGGCGATATCCTGCCCCATGTCATGCTCTGGGAAAAGACAAGCATGGGGGAGAGACAAAGTGACTGGATAGGAGACAGTGGTGATTAGCAAAGACAATGGTGATGCTTCCATGGAGAGCGACAAGGCGGTGGAAAGGGGGGACAGTGAGGGACTGCGGCGGGCAAGGCAGTCAGGGAAGACGCCTCTGTGCAGGTGCCATTGGACTCAAATACATGAAGGGCAAGGTGTGCAGCTGTCCTGGGAAAAAGTAGAGCTGTGCAAGGCTGGTCAGCTCAAGGAATAGCCAGGAGGCCGCTGTGGTCAGGGTGAGTGCGGGCACTATGACAGCTTGGCGCCAGGACCTGCGGGCTGGAGGAGAGGAATGATATGTCTGACTTGTGTTTTTAAATCACCTCATGGTTGTTGAGGGGGACAGCCTGAAAAGGGGACAAGTGTAGAGGGAGGGATCCCCTGGGAGGCTGGGGGCTGTCCTTGCATGCAGTGGTGAGGATGGTTGGCTCTGCCATGGAAGGAGGGAGAGAAATACTTTGACTGCAGGTATGTTGATGGATTTTGGATCAGGTTGGCTCTGAGAATGGAGGGAAAGGGTCAGCCTATAGTGAGATGGAGAGGCCCTGGGGAGAAGCAAGTTCACTTGGAAGAAGTCCTGAGCCTTGGGTGCAACGAGCTCGGCATGTCAGTGAGCCAGCCAGGTGATGGCGTCAGGGAGCAACTTGGGCACGGCTAG